TCCCTTCCCTTCCCTTCCCTTCCCTTCCCTTCCCTTCCCGCTCTGCTACGGCCGGGCGCGATTTAGGGAAGGAATTCCCTGTGAGGGGGGTGAGGCCCTGGCAAAGAGTGCCCAGAGAAGCTGTGGCTGCCCCATCCCCAAAAGTGTCCAAGGCCGCGCTCAGCGAGGCTTGGAATAACCTGGCCTGGAGGAAAGGGCCCCTGCCCACAGGGCTGGAATGGGATGGGATGGGACGGGACGGGACGGGACGGGACGGGACGGGATGGGATGGGATGGGATGGGATGGGATTTACGGTCCTTTTCAAGCTCAACCATTCCTGGGTGCGGGGATGGGATGGGATGGGATTTACGGTCCCTTCCAACCCCAGCCATTCCCGGACGCTGGGATGGGATGGGGTCTATGGTCCTTTCGTAAGCCCTGCCATTCCCGGTGGGATGGGATCTACGGTCGCTTCCAACCCCAACCATTCCCGGGGGTGGGGCTGGAATGGGATGGGATCTACGGTCTCTTCCAACTCCTAACACAACCATTCCCGGGCGCGGGGCTGGAATGGGATGGGATGGGATCTACGATCCTTTCCAACCCCAACCATTCCCGGACGGTATGAATCGGTCCCGGAACGGTGGCGCCGCGGCCGCGTTGCCGGGGGGGTGCAGGGAAGGAAAGCGGAGGGTGTCGGGCGGTGCGCCGCCGTTTCCCGTCCCCCGCTGAAGATGGCGGCGCCCAGCGCGCTCCTGGCCTGGTGCGTCCAGCACCTCCGCGGGGACTTCGGGCTGGACGTGGGCGAGGAGGTGGTGAGGTGAGCCGGGTCGGGGCCGGGCGGGGCCCTCCTGCCCTCTGGCACGGGTCGCGGGGATCTCTCGGCCCAGCGCGGAGGAAGTAGGGTGTGTCAGAGCAGCTGTCAGGAATCTGAGCTCAGGGTTGTCMCTCGGGTGGAGATTTGGGGACGGGAGGGTTGTGGGGTCAGAGAATCACAAAGTGCTCTGGGCTGGGAGGGACTTTAAAGCTCGTCTCGTTCCACCTCCTGCCGCGGTCTGACAGAAATCTCCACAGAATCCTGACGCAGAAAGGAGGGATAAATGACACAGCTGAGGATAAACGACACACCTGTCCGATGAGACCCCTCGATTAAACCTCGCAACACCAGCCCCTCACCCGTTTTTATCCTTTCTGCCCCCTGGCAGGTACATCTTGTCAATCACAAACGAGGATGAGATCCGTGAGTACGTTGTGGACCTGGTTCAGGGCACGGACGGGAAGAAGAGCTGGTTTGTGGAAGAACTGCTGGCCAGGTGGAAGAAATCTGCCCAGCCACCCTCTGAGCCTTTCCCTGCGTATCGGAAAAAGGATGGTGAGTGGTGCAGAGCTGAAAACTCTCAAATGAACTTGGTTATTGTGCTTACAAACAATTCCGTGCCGTGAATCCCTGTGTGGATACTGGTCCCATTCCTGATTGTCGGGACAGCATAAAGCCCATTTTCAGTCCCCAAGCAGAGCCCAGGGATGTTTTTCTGTTGCTCACACAAYGTCTGTGTGTTTGCTACACTGCCAGAGGCTCCGGGAGCACCACGGGCCGGGGACCAAGGCAAGAAGGGGAAACGCAAAGGGCGGAACAAGCAGGAGATGTCGGCGTACGCCGAGCCCAGTGCTCACAGTGAGGAGGTGAAAACTCCTCTGGACCTGGCCAAGGTGAGGGGGGCAGGGTGCCAGGGAGGCTGGGAGTCACTGGGAAGGTGTGGAACCTGGGGTCTCCAGAAAGGGAATGTCAGCCAGCAGGAAAGATGGGACTGGAACGTGGAAATGAGTGTCCAGGACATGTCAGATTGGCCTCAGATCCTGGGGGCAGTTTTGGGGCCTTCACAAGAAAGGCAGCAAGGTGCTGGAGCGGGTCCAGAGAGGGGAACAGAGCTGAGGGTGGGTCTGGAACACTGTGAGTAGCTGAGGGAGCTGAGGAGCTCAGCCTGGAGAAAATGAGGCTCAGGGGGGACTTTCTGGCTCTCCACAAGTCCCTGACAGGAGGGTGGAGCTTGGTGGGGATCAGGATCTTTTTTTCCCTGGGAGCAGGATGAGAGGGAATAGCCTCAACTGTGCCAGGGGAAGTTTAGGTTGTCTGTTGAGGGAAAAGGTTTTCATGGAAAGGGTGGTCAGGTACTGGAATGGGCTATGCAGGTGGAGTCAGTGATGGAGTCAGAGAGAGTGTCTCAGCTTCTCCAAGCTAAATATTTTCATGTTTCTATGATATCCAGGCTGGGGAGAAAGTTTGTGTCTGTAACTGGGAGTAAAGTAATCATCAGGGAGCAAATATACTGGCATGGATTTTTCTCTCCCCAAAAAGCCTGAGAGCAGGGYAGGTGAAGGAAGTTGAGGCTGTAATTAAGAATAAAAGGGATTTCTTTAAATCAGATGTGACAGTGGGGAGTTGAAGCCACCAAGTGGGTAGAACATCCTTTCCTGCTGTGTTTCAACCTTCCCAGTCACACTGATTGAAGCTTTAATTGGCAGCTGAATTATTTCAGAAAGAAACTGTGGAATAAGARCATTGAAACACTAGAACCTGAGAAATGCTGCTATTCCTGAGTAAGGAGTGGAAGTTGCATTAATGTTTTTAAATGGAACTTCCTGAAGCAGGGAGGCTGCAAAGRCTGAAAGCATTTGTAAAAGTGTTTGTAGGATGAAATGCCACATTTTTGAACTGGAGAATTGAAAATRGACAGTGATGTTCCACTTCCTTGTAGTTAYCTTCTAACTTAATTAAAWTTTTTKAAAAAGAGTGARAAATATCTGCAAAAATCACTTTATCTTGTTTTTGGGKTTTTTTGTGGTGGYAGTGTTTGGATCTGGCAGTGGCACTAAAACTGGTTGGGCTTTACTGGGGGGACTGGAAAGCTGCATCCACTTGTCACTAAATCGGATTGCAAGTCAGAGGTGAATCATGAAATCACTGGAGCCAGATCATGGAAGGAGGAGCAGAATTTATTTTGCAGCTCAACACTTGAACCTTCGTGCGTTGAAAACCTCTGAGGTGGCTGTGCRGGGTGGGAAAGCTGCTGGGAGGTGCCATGGCTGTGAATGCGGTGTCCCTGCAGCCAGCACCGGCTGTGTCTGGGGAGGGGCACACACAGGGTGCACAGCTACAAACAAGGAGTCTAAATAATCCTTGGAAATGAGCTTGGGAGCAGCTAAGCTGCTGTTGGGAGCAGTGAGGAGCACGGACGGCAGTGCTGGCCGCCCGAATCCCAGCAGCTCCAGATGGTGTGGGCARCSAACTTTGAGTGCATCCTTGTGTCCYTGCTTTGTTTGGATTCCTTGGAGCTTTTCTGGCAAGGCTGAGCTTGTCTTTCCTCTCAGTCTGGGGTCTGGTCCAAGTTTCATTCCGGTGAGGCAGAACAACACTTGTCTGAGCCTCCCTGCCCAGGGGTCAGCCCTCGCTCTCAGCTGCCAGTGCTGTGCTGGGAGCACAGTTTGTTTGTTTGTTTGTTTGTTTGTTTTTCCCTTCCTAGGCCCAAGAGAGCAGCAGCGGAGTGGGCAGCAGTAGCATTTCCTCTAAGAAGAAGCCCAAGTACGTCAGCCTGTACACGAGGGAGGGGCAGGACAGGCTGGCTGTGCTCATCCCAGGCCGCCACGCCTGCGAGTGCCTGGGCCAGAAGCACAAGCTCATCAACAACTGCCTGGAGTGCGGGCGCATCGTGTGCGAGCAGGAGGGCTCCGGGCCCTGCCTGTTCTGTGGGGCCCTGGTGAGTGACAGGGCATTGCTGCTCTGTTTGGTCCTGCAGGAGTTGCCTGAATTTGCCCTTTTGGTATAAGGTCTTCTTCCAGAGCTCTAAAGCAGGGAAGGAAAGAACCTCTTAGGAGGTTTCTCTCATAACTGACATGGCTTTGGAGTTTGGTTTCTGCCAGTCTCCTGTGTGTCACATCAGTGTCCAAAATC